AAGAAATTCTTATTCTGATAATTAATATCTTGGGATGCAAATATTTCAATACAATCATATTTCTTCATAAGCCTTTGTAAAACGGAATCGCAGACACGAAAGTAAAATCGGATTCGTTTGTCTACCATAAAAAAGCTATAGTAAAATTCGTGTTCACGTTTTGAGCAGTCATTAGTGATGCCCCCATATCACGACCCGTTCTAGCTGAAAACTAGAATCTTAACAATACGAAGGCCCCAGCTCAAGTGGACGGGTTTGGAACAGTCCGTTTACTTTGTCCGAAAATGTCTAATAGCCAGTGATACAATTGTGAAAAATTCGTGGCCTCGGTGGGGTTCGGACTCACACAGTAGGGAAGGCTTTTGTAGAGCCAACGCTCTACCATTGAGCCCGCCAGCGAATTTAATCGCACTTGGGTCTTTTTGCCTGCCCAACCTACTGCGCGCATGGAATCTACCATTACGGATACAATGAACTGACTGCCGGGCACGATTTCCTAAGCAATAATCTAGAATCCATCAGAATGATTACTAGAGTTTGGCAGATTTGAATAACTTAATTGATTCAATTGTGAAGAAGACGACGATACTTTTATTGGCCTAACGTTTCCACATCCGTCGCGGATTCATCATCAGAGACGGTAGCTTACATTTCTGATCCAATTGCAACAAATTTGTGACCTCGATGGGAACTTCGTAGCTCAATGGCAGAGCGTTGGCAGAGCCTTCCCTGCTGTGTGGGTTGGAATCCCACCGAGGCCAATAATTGTTCACAATTCGGTCAACTGAATTATCCAAATCTGCCAAACCCTCCAAATAGTCAATAATAGTTGCGAACTCCAGTACTAAATCAAAGATGAACAGCGATGCAGAGCAAAGCTAGGAGATGCTATTGGCTCAACCGACTGACAATAGACCGTTGAGGAGGATAGCGAGGCTTGCCTGGAGTACTGGCGCGTTTTGCCGGATGTAACTGATTGGGTGATTATAGTCAAATCAGCAGGCGGATGGAAGGGGCCGCTTAGCGGACATGTGCAGTGTGGTGCCTTATGGAGGAGGGTCAGTAAGGGAGGCAAAAAGGAACCAAACTTACGTCGCCGCGATGCAAGTATAGGCCACATGGCGCATGCTACCATGGAAGTAGCAGTAGTTGAGAAAGAGACTCTCAGCCTGAAACTGGTACATGCCCGGTTTCACATTGCGCATGAGGTGACGATGGGCGGCAGAACTGGCCTTAACCGCATACCGAATGACATCCAACTCCAGGGCAGTTTTTATGCAACGGCTAAAAGAAGGATAAGAACAGCGGTAGAATGAAAAACCAGAACAGTTGCGGATAGCAATGATAAAAAAACGACCAGAGAGAGATCCTAGAGTGGATCCATTCCTTTTCAACTGGAAATTGCTAAGATCGAATCTGACTACATCCGCAAGCAAACGGCCTACCCGTTGTTTCTCGAATACACTGAAATAAACAACCGGAAATACGTTTTCTGCGAAAAACACGATGCCAATATGCTTGATAGAAGCACAAGGACCCGGGTGACTGCTTCCAGCCAGCTACTAAATAAATAATTTTATTTGAACAAAGCGAAGATCACGACTTGAGCAGAATTTAATGACGTCATGAAATTTCGTGACCTCTCAATAATTTATATTTATATTTTTATATATTTATATTTTATATTTAAGGCTCGGAGGGCCAATCAGTGGAAACAAGTCGGCCACTGTGACGGCTGGTTATAAAGCACGAGGCTCGAAAGCCTATAACCCTCTAAAAAGCCAGTGTGATGTTCATCATGAGGTGTTGCGAAAAGGCAGTTATTAATTAGCACGAGCTCTACCGTCGGCGCTATGCTGACAGAAGGCCAGAAACACATATGATGTTATTTTTATTTTACCGACAAGCACGGAGTACACTCACGAAGGCCTTTTCTGCCTATCTGGGCGTCATCAGGTGGTGATAGGTCAACTCCAGTGTAGCAGCGGAAATTGCCGCCACACTCGAGTTTCGAACTTGTGTCTCTCCGGCCAGAGGCGAACGCTCTAACCCTTGAGCTTCTGGCCGGAGATACGCGAGTTCGAAACTCGGCTGTGGCGGCAATTTGTTTGTGGGTAAAATAACAATAACATTGTTACGAAAAGTTGGCTAGTAATATATAAAATGGGGTACCAATTAGCTTGCAAACGAACAATCAAATCAGGATGGGTGCATCCTGAAACAGATCAGTGTACAATTACCCACTACATATGATGTTTTCAGTTTCAACTTCCCACCGGGTCGCAATTCTCTTAGCTTACCTCTCTCTCTCACTTTCGCGACAAAATTGACTAGTTATTTCAAGGCAGTTTTTCGCCAATATTGTATTATGCGAAGACGGACGAGTGAAGTGCCATCTTGAGAAAATGGCCCTACAAATTGAAAAAAATACGACAAACCCTACTGCATGCTGGTGCTGGATGCAATTCGCTACGTCCTTGCGAGTGGAGCTGACAGCCCGCGGGACTAATGGGATAAAAGCCGGCCCATAAAACTATTTGAGACATAAAATACCGGGTAATGCTGAGCCTGGCTGCCAAAATATAATTTGGGGGCATAAAGGCTCAAAAGCCTTATCCAGTCGTCGGTGAACATTCATCTGACCACCAACGGAACTCAACTGCCCCGCTCTGCCTTGGGCCACGCCAAAAGCCCTAACAGCTAACAGTAGACAGATAGTATTGCCGGCAAAGACAAGAGGGCGACTGGAATGGCCTTTTCTGGCTCATTAGCCGTCGTCAGCCAGTCATATCCAGGCCCAAGTGGAGCGCCAGTCGAGGATCGAACTCGCGCCCCTTTCGATGAGAGTCTAATGCCCAGAAATATTATCTGCCTACTACTAGCAGTTACGGCTGTCGGGGCCTTTAGCGAGGCTCAAGTCAGAGCGGGGCAGATGAGTTCCGTGCATCAACGAGTGTCAATATCCCCTGACCAAAACTGGCGGGAGAACGGGTTTGTGGCTCAATACTTAGGCCGTTAGACTCTGATCAAAAAGTTCACGAGTTCGAGGCTCAGGTGGGACACCACTTGGGTCTGGATATGACTGACTGACGACGGCTAATGAGCCAGAAGTAGCCATTCCAGTGGCCTTTGTCTTTGCAGGCAATACTACCTACCTTATCCAGTGTCGACAGTGTAGAGGACGGCGGAGCCCAAGTTTATCGGTACCTAAAATCTGATGGTTTACAACGGTGCGCGGGAGACTGAATCTGTTTTGTTGGTTTTACGGTGGGTTTTTGTAGGGGTCTAAGTAGTGAATGTACTTGGATCACCGCAATCATCAGAGTAAATCCGTCAGTTGGAGGTAAAAGGCAGCAGACACCTGTGAGCGCGATTTATTGTGTACAGAACTCCCTGTTGGTTGGTTAGTAGCCTTTTTGGATCAGGAATCCCCGCCGGAGTCCAAACTGGGTGCAGCTGGGAGACGGAGAAAAGCCGCGACCTCG